TCATTACAAATACGTTTATAACGAAATATAATCCGCGCGTATAAAATTTGTTACACATGATATTCGCATAGTTTTTTTTTCTAAACAGGTGTTAGCCGGCATTCATTGATTGTGGTCGGCGTGTCGATGCCCTATATTATTGTACTCTTTCAAGTTCATTGAGTCACACAATGGGCATATAATTGGTCATTAGCGTATGTCAAAACACGTCGTCCGTTCATAATAGTTTACATAATTAGGTTCGTTTGCATAAGCGATTATAATGCGTGTCTTCGCGAGTGACGTCGGCGCAGTATGGCTAATTCATTCATTTGTTTATGAGTTTACTATTACTTTTAGAGCACGTGGCCGATTGTTTACGATACGGGTGGTAATTTAACGGCGACGGAGTAATAAAGGCAGTCATTATGAGATTTGCTCGGGAAGGTGCGGACGCATCACGCTCAATGTGTTTTTTGTGCAAATATTTAAGAGTAGGTATTTCGTAATGATAAGTGTTTAAATGTATTCGTATTTATAATACTAGAATGCTACTTTTTTACTACACGAACAGACAACTAGCTAGTCATCTAACGGAAAATGCTAACGAGTCTCATGTTTTTGAAATGACAATACATTAAGTACCGTCCAAGTGTTTACTAATAACATTCGAATAGTAAAAATAAACGTACACTTATCATATCACATTAATATTATCAATCGTAAGCGAGATAGAAAAATTTAATAAGATTCTTATCGTTTAAATATTTATTGACTCAAAAAAAAACAGTCGTTTTCTTGCTACGAAACAGTCGATGACAAAACAGGCAATTAAGAAATATAAAGAGTATGGATTAATATAAACCAAAAGAAATTCCGCAACTGTATCCTCGCGGAGTCTATTTTTGTTTTTCCTTCCAAAATATTTGATTTTGTTTAGTAACATATGCCTAAATTTTATCAAGCACTTCTATGAAAATTAAAAGGATGCTCTGTCCCAGAATTAGTTAAGAAATAGTATACTTTTTTACGCAACTTTTCTAAGTTGAACAACAACAAGCTGAAGATTCACTTGATGGAAAATGGTAACCGTCGCCTATAGACATGAGCAGACCCATGGACATAACAGAGTATGCTGTTTCGCCCATGGTACCCCCCCATGCGTTGCCATTCCTAAGGACTCAAGAATATACGAGTACTTAGGCCATTGGATAAAAAAGAAACACAGAAAATAAAACATACCTGATTTAGCAATTAATAGCTATAAAGTTTTTTTTTTTTTGTAAATAATTTAACATTTGCTTGACAAGTTACTTTGGTAGTTAAAAGTGCTAAGTCATAGTGAGACAGCTATTTCTCGACATCTGGGCGAACACTCTATTCATTAATTTTTGTTAACAAATAAATTCTATTCCATTGTTTATTAGTATTACCCGAAATCTTATCTAAATATGTATTATCAGATGTTTATCCATTTATAATAATTGATAACTTGTTATAACGTTATAAATGTGAAAGTTTGTAGTGATGTTTGTCACACTGAATTACGCTTAATCGGCTGAACGGATTTATATTAAATTTGTTACAAGTACAGGCGAACCTTATTATAATGTGTATTTCAAAAATAATAATAATAGTTTGTATAATTAATAATGTAACTGTAAACTATGAGTATATACCTGAAAATAAAGAGATTTATTTATTATTATTTATAGATATTTTATAACCTAATTTTATAGAGACAATGCCACGGATTTCAACTATTAAATAATGATTTCTATTTTTCGAAAACATATTATTAGGCCAATGTGTAACCTATTTGAAATTCTTATTGCCTTACTTTTATAAATGAATATAAATACAAATCAATCGGCCTTCAATTTGGCACACACTTGGCACTTGACGTGAAGAAGGACATAGACTAATTTTTATCTTGGTCACGTGCGAACGAAGTCGCGGGCACCACTAGTTTATTACTATGTTCAGCGTAAAATAATACCTACAATAATTTAGTAAATACGATTAAGAAAATATTAATAAATAATAAAGATAGGATTACTAAGAATACTATTAAATCATCTAATACGTAAATGAGTAGCGATAGGTAAAAAAATGTGTCTTGGAACAATAGTACACCTAATAATATACAAAGGTAAATATGTCTTATTGCTACTAACATAAAGATCAATAACGTAAAAACACTCTACCATTATGAGTTCATCGCACTATCGAATTTCTGGTTACAAACCGACACTTAAGGATTGCTAATTATGTTTATTATTATTGTAAATTACGATACGTTATCGTGTAATATTACATAATGACCGGAAACACACATCACCGGAACTAGTTATAGTACAATACGTGTTCACACGTCATAATTCTGTCAATATTGTTTTGATTCTCGATCAGCTGGGCTCGCCGCGGCGCCTATACCTACTCGTGTAAGGGTATGTGCATAGTTTGGGTGCACGTGACTGCAACAAGTCGCATTCCTCAATGCACCCTACGACACCCCACGCCCTGTATCTCACTCACTCCAACTAGAGTTTTTTTTTATTTTGTTCTCGTCACGTTATATGTAAGTTTCTAAGCGCAATTATTAATTAGTTATAACAAATGCAAATCAAAAATAACCCTTTACGAAGATAATTGTAACTCGAACATATACAGCCATTTGGACATGTTCGTGTTATAAACAAAAGGATAGCAATCTTAATTTTTCAATTTAAGATGTGTTTGATACAGTTATAATGTTATTTTATAATTTTCAAATATTTTTTATAGTTCAGAAATAATCCTATTTTAAGTGCAATATGAAAAGACTAGATAAAATAATAAAAGGATTTCAAGATATGACTTTCGTTGAAGTCTTTTTACTGTCGTAGCACGGTCGTAGAGGTCTAATGAGGGTCAAAAATTGCACGGAATAAAATCGTCTAGATATGTCAATTTATTTATCAAAATTATTTTTTGAACATCGACAATTTCTTAGGGTTGGCTTTATTTTAGCCTAAAATAACTAAATAAAAGTATTTCTTCCAGTCTTCAGATAATTTTAGTCGTGGTAAGTAAATATTATAGTCATTTAATAAGTTATAATTCACCTTCTTTTTAATTAGTAAATACTGTAGTGTTTGACTGGAAATCTAGATGGCGCTGTGTGTTCCAAATATTACAAGTTAAGTAGTTTTTATACCAGTAAAATACATACACATTATTAGTAATTACCTAATGTATAAATATTTTCAAAACCTATTTTCAATAATGAAACGTTTGAGTTTGCTAAGCAAAGGAAAGCTAGAGTATAGTTTAATTTTGTTATAATTGCCCAATACTTAGTATTTACTTTGTTAAAATATATTAATCCCAAGGGAAATTATTTTAAAGTATTCAGAAAAATAGGAATTAACAAAACTATACTGTTTTGTTAATTCCTATTTTTCTGAATGCTGCAGTTTTTATTAGTAGTTGGCACTTGGTTTCAACAGATGTATTCAGTATACACCCTTCTATTGTGCTTAACTAACCACAAATATTGATAGTGTGATTAACCAAGTACCACTTAAGCAAGAATCTAATCAAATGTTAGAAATTACACAGTTGATAGAGTATAAAGGTCTCAGCTAGGACAAAAAGACGAGCAGTGGAGTGGAGTAGCCATTGGCGATCCAAATCGAGAAGTAAATCTCAATAAGAGCCGAGGAGGCGGTGCTGGGCGGGGCACCCTAACAGTTACCATAGCAACGCACCCCTCGCCAGCTCCCAACAACTCTCATACATGTTCTCCAAATACCGTCACATCTTCTTACATTTATCGAATAGAACCATTCGATATTAGAAGAATTGGAAACAATGCCGAAATATAAATAAGAGACCGTAATGCCGTATAGAAAGTAAAGTGTGTTCAGTGCGCGCGGCACTAGCGAGCCAAGTCGGCGATAATTAATGTGGAGTCGAGCGAACGGGCGCCGCTCCGGCAGCCTCGCGCCGCACCGACAAAAAACCCGCTCCGACACAAAAACACCCGTCGCTAGAGCGAGACAGCCGCACGGGTGCGAGTGGGACGGAACGGTGCATGTATTTCTGTGAGGAGTTCTCGCTTGCCTCGAGCGTCGCACAGTTATCGAGATTCCGAATATCGCGCTTTGATTTAAAACCAGCCGAATGCGCCCTTCTATCTATCACATGGTATTTGACAGGTCGGCGGAAACGCACCGAGCTGTCAGATCCGAAAAAAGGCGCGCATCTTGAAACGCAAAACAACAAATGAAAAACAACACAAAGTATTACAAAATCAATTAGTAAAAGGATAATAGAGTAATTGGTATTGCCAATGGTTTTTAAAAGCTAGACAATATCATTTTGGTACTGAATTTGGCAAATAAATATGGTGAAATAATTGACTAATGAATATTTTGAACAAGTCTATGATATTCACGAATTATTCTACAAGCCACATACATGTATCTAAGCGATGTTGGAATAAGTTTCTTGTAAATTTTCTTTAAAACAAAATATCAACTCATTACATAAATAATATTACGCTCTTATAACAATTTAAAGAACTTCTATGGTATTGTCGTTTTTTACATTTGATACTGTATCTACAATATCCTGTCTCAATTCAAGAACTACAGGTTACTTTAGCTACTAATTATATCGGTATTATATTGGTAAATATCAGATACGTCTTTTAACATTTGACTATCTGTTAGCAATCGACCTTCTTTGTTGTCTCAATTCTTCTTTCAAAGTCTCAATTTTAGTTCTTGGAAAACTACCGACACAAAATGTACAAAGTTATGAAACAAGTTATTCTTTTTAAAAATAACGATATTTACAATTTAATCTATTTATAAGTAATATAGTTAAATTTCGAGTTCCAAAACTATAAATTATTTGCCAAGTACAAATTTTTCTAAGTGTGAAAGATTGAACACGAAGTTGACTTAATTTTTTTATTGAAACTAGAATATATTTAACATACGGTATAAAACACAACAAGATGATACACTTACCTGGATATCACTCCACATTTTCATGGGGATACACCATAGTTCCGATACGAAAACATCACACGATCACGATAACAACTGTCAAAAGTGTCACAGCGGCGTCACAGTAACGTACACGTCGATCGGAGGCCGGTCGTAGACTAAAGCGAATGGCGCGGCTCGCTCGGCAGCAGCGCGGCTGGCGCGTGGTACTTACGCCCTTTGGCCTCTACCACACCTCACTCGACTGTGCTCGGCCTCGTTCGGCAACGCTCGGCCCGGCCGCAGCGCCCACCTGCGACTCGCTTCCACGAACAACAAAACCGAAGCGAGTCGACTCCACTGAGCGCCCAGCACAATGCCTTCTATCTACCCGTTGCCTTGTGGAAATACCCGTGTTTCAGCTCACCAGTAAATTTGCCTTCTCAGTGTTATGACAGTTTCAACTTATTTAAACATAATTTCTAAAGGATTAAATACTTTCTTTGTTACATGTATTGTCCCGGGCAAAGCAACAATTACCAATAGATATTTCGAAATATTTATGAATAATATTCTTTGAACTACAGCTACAACAAAAAATCATGAACTGCTTCATTGCTATTTTTGATATTTTTGAATAACATTAAATGTTGCCATTGTTAAATAAAAATACTTAAAACCAAACAATGAGTTTCTCTACAAAATCGTACGTAATCTTATCAGAAGCACACTTCCAGTTATAGGTAACACACTATACGATATCTTATTCTAACGAATGATAACAAGAACATTGATTGAAACCTGAATCCTAACGTTCGCATAGAACAGCTTAAGTTTTCAGTTCACTGATAACAGAAAGTGACAAATAAAAAAGCTGAGCTGAACAAAGTTTTGAGTGCGGAGCGCTACGGACGACGTAGCAGGAAGTTCGTAGCAGTAAAACTTCGTAGCGCTCTCGTAGCGTGAAAGTTTTGATTTCAACGATTTGCGTTGCGGCAAAGAGAGGACCGCGAGGCCACACTAGCTCCGCGACCCTGCGCCCCGCACCACCTACATCTACCCACCGCGCGGCCCACGCTCTCAACGCTGCTTCGCGCACCATCGCGCTGCTGCACGTAAGCATTTCAATCACATCGGTGTTGACTCACCGATGTACATCGTATAAAACGGTCAATCACATATACACGCCATTAGATTTATCCGTTCGTTTATCTCTCACGAGAGTGCGCCACTTGGCTGTCGAGCGACTACGCCCTTACCGTGTTTAGGTGCGTTTTGCAAATCATCTCTTTACAAAAGAATCGTCGTTCGGACGCTTTCCATTCCATGTGCAGTTAACAGAAGACAGGCCAGCCAGTGTCGTATCGCAGCAATGGGGCGTGTGCCGATCGATATCGTGGCTGGTCGTTATGCCGCGTCGGAAAATTCATTCGGCGGTAATTTTAAACTGTCGCCAGCCTTATTATAATAGTGCTGTGCAATGGTAGACTTTAGAAGTGAATTGTGGATTTAAAGTACAATTAAAAGCGAACAGCAGTTACACTTTTTTCTCATTGGCTAATATCAGAATGCTTATCGCCATGACTGAGCTGAATTCGATTTGTGCAATGGGCGATTGTGCGCTGAAGTAAAATAAAAACTGCATGACTTCACCCTTCTAGTCTGATGAGCCTTCTTCGAAACAAAGAATAAACCAGTAATACAGCTTGTATTTCACTAACTATTATTATTATTAGTAGAATATTAAGTTTGTGAAGATATTTACTTGTTGACTGAGTTCCTAACTCAGTCAACAACATAAACAACCGAAAAATTTTCAATATTTAATTATAATAAATATTCAAGCGATAATAAATTTACAATATGGTATGGTATGGAAAATGTTTAAACTCATCTATTATAATATCCACCATTAGCTGTCCACTAATAAACAAAGGCTTTCCCCATAAGGGGGGTTGTGCCAATAATTGTCACACTTGGCGAGTGGGTTGGCAACCGCAGTTCAGATTTGTTCATGTTTTACGAGGAATGCTACTCTGCCTATCCTTCTACTGTTTAGTTCCAGAGGAAAGGAAGGAGTGGTCCATTCTATGCCGAGACCACATGTTCGAGCTCATAGAAACACATTATTTACAATGCTGATAACCAAACCGATGGTTTATCTGGTAGGAAATGACCACAGTAGTTTTGGGGGAAAGGGATTGTTAGTAATGGGGTTTAATACCTCCATTGCTAGCAATGTACCCTATCAGGTCGACCTCCACGCGGTTCCCCCTGGAAACCATCGTAGTTAATTCTCGTAAAATTCTTCACAATGGGCTAACTGACCTGCTCTCATCCTCACTTGTCATCTTCTTACAAGCTAAACAACCAAAACCAAAACATTATTGGTACTGCATATGTACGGCATTACTTGATTAATACCCAGTCCTCAGTAATTTGAATGCAGCGTCCTACCTTTCAAGCTGCTTACCAAACTGAAGGTAAGGCAAAAAGCTGAAGGTATGGCACCGGTAAAACATAAGGACGTATGAGTATTGCCTACTTACCTCTTTTAGTGTGGGGAGGAAAGGATTGTTAGTAATACGGACTACCAGTCTCATTGCTAGCAATATACCCTGTCAGGTCGACCTCCACGTGGTCTCCCCTGGAAACCATCGAGCTAAATTCCTGGTGTATCTGTAACGATGAACTAACTGACTTGCCTTTTAAGAGTTTTATTACCATCTTCCACTGTCATCAGCTGTTAACGTCCCCTATAAAGGGAGAGTTGCCTTATAAAGAGGGGTTTTACCTATAGTTGCCACGCTTTGCAGGCGATTTGTAACCCTATTTAGCCTTGGTGATGTTTTAAGGGGGACGCTGCTACCTATCTCTCGATTATTAAGTTCCCTCAGTCACCTCTTGCGATACCCACGGGACAGGAAGGGGTGGTCCATTCTATGCCGGGTACACGGCACTGTCAAAGATATAGAATCTTATAATCGCAGTTCTTTGTACGTGCTTATTTAAAAAAAATCTTAAAATGACATTTTTGAAATTTGTTATTTAAAAATATAACGGTTGCTTATTGTGAAGGTATTCTTAGACGCTTTAATGGCTTTATCAATTATCATGAAATTTAGCACTAACATAGCATTTTTTTTAATGGATAATAATGGAATGGAAACCCCGCCTGCACTATCGGTATACACTGACGGGGCAGCAGTAAGAGATGATAGGTGGATAATGAAAAAGCAGGTCAGTTAGCCCATCGTGATGAATACATCTGAAATTCAGCACGATGGTTTCCAGGGGGAACCGCGTGGAGGTCGACCTAATAGGGTATATTGCTAACAATGGCACTAGTAGCCCGCATTACTAACATTCTCTTTCCCCCCCGGACATAGCATTTGAGGTAGAAAAGGATATAGGCTACTTTTTATCTCGGTCAATCAAAATATTCCAGTCATACGAACTAAGTTGCGGGTATAGACTAATATGTGTATAAATAGATAAATATTTGTAGATAATATGCACAGATATCAAAGCAACCTTAATTACAACCGCGTAGAGTTGTTTATCTCAAACAGACACGTCGGACTAACTGCGCCATATCGGTTCGATTCACATAGCAAAAACGTCTCTATAACATTCACAATACGTTACAATATTGAATGAAATATATTTATAGTATGCTTGAGCATAGACTTGCTTTTACTGAATCGGACTAATTGTGAGATTCTACGGATGCTGACATAACCAGGTCCAATGTTGCCAATATTAATAAATATGTATTAAATGTTGCCTTTTAAAACTACATCAGAATTTCTTCACTCTCCAGCTAAATTCTCATTCTAGTTATTATCTTCCCAATGTCTTCAAACTCATGTCATTTTAAGCAATTTAAAAGAACCTTTCTTTTTCTCTTAACTCGTATGTATTTTTTACTATATTTTGGAATGATAAACAAGTGGACAGATCACCTAATGGAAAATGTTAACCTTCGCCTATAAACATGAATATGGGAGTTAAAAAGATCACGAATTATAATATAGTTTACCCGTCTTTTACCTAACCCGCTGAGTTTAATAGGACTCTCGTGCTGAGAACGCAATATTAACAAAGCGGTATATTTACATCGGCGGGTTATACGAAGCAAATCGTATTATGATTCACATACAGTGCGGATTTTAAACTCCCCAGCGGTATGGACGTCACAAAATACATTGTAATGCTATTGGTAACTTCAGAGGTTACCATACCTGAGGACTAAGGTATTTTTTTGCCGTACTCAGTTACTTTTTAATGGGATGAAAATAGAGTGATTTCTCCACCTGCACTATCGGTATACATTGGCGAGGTACCAGAGACTGATGATAGATAAGAATGAAGGCAGGTCAGTCAGCCCTTTGTGATAAATTATCCTAGAATAAACCACAATGGTTTCCAGGGGGAATCGTGTGAAGGTCAACTTGAGTATATAACTAGTAATGGAATCACGCGATTCCATTACTAACAATCCCCTCCCCCACTGTAGTTATGTTACACGAACACGTCGTCAATTCTATACCGTTTTTGATAATGCTTTTATCAATTTATGGGGGTATACTTTCGTGTTGGTCCCATTAGTATGTGCAAAAAGCAGCCAGCTTTCTCCTATTTTTCATTTTAGCCGGTTACTGTCCACTGCTGAACACAAGCCTTTCCCATAAGGGAAGTTTTGCCAGTAGCTGACATACTTGGCAGGCGAGTTGGTAACCGCAATTAGGCTTTTAGAGATGTTTTAAGAAGGATGCTGCTGCCCATTACTTTACCATTAAGTTCCTTAAGTCGCCTTTTACAATACTCACGGGAAAGAAAGGAGTGACCTATTCTATGCCGGGACCACACGCCCAATCTTTCTAGCATACTGATACCTAAATAAAAAATTGAATTGTAAATAAATAAATTCAAATTTTAATTTTACTACAACTGATTCTACCCTTTTTCATTGAGCATAAAAAAATTGTTTATCACGAAAAATAATCTACTTGTAAAGATAAAAAAAACTGTTGATTTCAATGCAAAATCTGCTCATACAAACGTGATTCTTTCCTTCAAGAAATTCAAGTATTTTTAATCCAATGTATCTACGAAATATCTCGTTGTTAATCGGTATATATGGGTTTATGATTGAATTTTTTTTGCTAAGTATTTAGTTTGTTATTTGTTAATTACGTCATTGCAGGCTACAGTGGGAGTGGTCTTTACATTACTTCAGTGACATTGCAATGTTACCTCGAGTTCAATAAACCTA